GATGTGATGTATTCTGCAGTCGTATTTTCACGAGTGATGTGGTGTATTCTGCAGTTGTATTTTCACGAGTGATGTGGTGTATTCTGCAGTCATATTTGCACGAGTGATGTGGTGTATTCTGCAGTCATATTTTCACGAGTGGTGTGGTGTATTCTGCAGTCGTATTTCCAAGAGTGATGTGGTGTATTCTGCAGTCGTATTTCCAAGAATGATGTGATGTATTCTGCAGTCGTATTTTCACGAGTGATGTGGTGTATTCTGCAGTCATATTTGCACGAGTGATGTGGTGTATTCTGCAGTCATATTTTCACGAGTGGTGTGGTGTATTCTGCAGTCGTATTTCCAAGAGTGATGTGGTGTATTCTGCAGTCGTATTTCCAAGAATGATGTGATGTATTCTGCAGTCGTATTTTCACGAGTGATGTGGTGTATTCTGCAGTCATATTTTCACAAGTGATGTGGTGTATTCTGCAGTCGTATTTCCAAGAATGATGTGATGTTTACTGCGGCATCCAAGAAGTTCGTGTAAGTGTGCGCAAGGATAAAAAAAAATGTCTTCAGAACGATAATCAAATATCATTTAAACTATTATCACTGAGTGAATATACATTTATGGTAAATAAATACAATACAAAAACAATCATTCTTAATATTCTTAATATCCGAGCATGTTCTAACATGTTTTAGTATACATATTGCAAAATGTACTCACCTCCGGGAGTAACCTTAGTTGCGGCCTGTTAATAACAACTGGAGATTTGAGGAATGAATTATAATATTTTCTACCAAGTTTTGTATTACTTTGCGTAAAGATGAAATATGACCCATTAAGATTCGTCAGATCATGCCTGAAACAAACAACAAAATACATACGTGTTATACGTGTCATGGCAGTCCTGTACGCAACATAATAGGAGCAGTAAACGGCAATGCGCACGACTCATGGTGACATCAATGCAGCATATACTTTAAACGCGTGGGTCGTCACCTGCGCACGCGCGGGAATTGAGTCCCAAGCGACGATAACAACACACACTAAAAACGCAAAGGGCTCAGGGTTAGACGCTTGTCTGTAAACAATGACACGCTATGGCCATCTGACACATGCAGGTGACGACTCTCCCGCTTTAAGACTGTGAAAGTTATAAAAGTGTAATCTGGTGTAGATATCATAGAAACCTCCAGAGATGGTGACTATTTGCGGGACATGCAACTACTTCTATTTTAAAATTATGACCATGACGTAAGTTTACCGAGCAATATTAAAATATTAATATTTCCGAGCCACAAATATTTATAAAAACACCACAGTGAATCCAGTCACATGTGTACAACGGGGAATGGTCAAATATGGTATACTAGTGACTGCATGACTATAGAAACCGTTTTAGCGGTTTGAATATAGATGGTTATGTAATAACTATGAATAACTGATTTGTCTAAGAATATTGCACGGGTGATTGTGAGAAGGATAGTGACAGTTAATACTTACCTTATTCCACGTAATCTAGTTTTATTCAATTCCCAATTCGTGTCTAGTAATTTTACAGTATCCGTCAGATTCTGTTGCAAAGCCAAACGGCGCAAGGTTCTAGAACTTCTGGTCACCCTAGTAGAACAATATGACTAGAGTCAACAAAGCGTTGCGATACCTCAAACCTCTATACATTCTATGATCAAACCCTGAGTATTGGATAATATGTTCATAATATTGAAAAAAAACGGGTCTGAAATGTGTACCGTGCGTGTTCATTCATCCGACATGCCGACAGATAAATTAGAACAGAAAAATTACAATTGTTGGTTGCTGAGAGGAAAGTTAATGGGTACATCCTAACTGCTGCCTATCTATTTGGCGATTGTTTGAATGCATGTGGGACTGCGTTTATATTGATCGTACACGAATGTCAACGTTGAAATGAGCCGGCTTTTAAAATCCAACTTCTCTACGTTGAAAGGAACAAGCAACTTTGTCTGTTCACAAATCAGAAACGCAATGATGTGACGGTAATAGGGACAACTTAAATACATGTGGATTATTAGATATCGGCAGAATTGACAATGTCACCACAACATGAAAGCCATGATTTTGATGAAGTTACAAGTAGAGGCAAAATTTGACGACAAATGTACAAAGAGGTAAAACAGTGAGTCTCAATCATCCTGCAACTCTTGGTGTTAGAACTGCTAGATGCAACGAGTAAGTGTGTACAATTTGTAATAACTATAACATAACCGTGTGAAAATTCAAATACTTCCATGTTCCTTATTACACTAAATGGTACGTTCTCGTGAATGTGATGCACACTTTCTATAAATCGCGCCCTCTGGCGTCGAACATTAGGTCGATATTGTTTTGATCTGCTGTCAACAGTCGATACAAAATAAAATATGCAAATGAAAAAAGGCTTCACGATCAAACACAGTTATCGATTAAACGTCACAGAAGCGATTCGTCGCTAGGGGCGCCACTTATGGGAATGATGTACAGGTAGCGGATTGTGAGCACTAAAATGTCAATACCTTCTTCTTGTTTTTGTTTTTATGACCATGTGGGAAGGCCTGTGCCTTTCATGTTTTCCAATACGACTTTCTTTCTTTTTGTTCGCATTGCTCGTTTCCTTAAATTGTTCACGCGAAACAATTTTAGTTTCGTTTAAAACACTCTCTTCCTGTTCCTCTGTTATGATAACAGAACCGTTGAAATACTTCTTTTCTTGTTCATCTCGGACGTCAGCAGTTATACTTGCTAGCGTTGGTTACGTGCACGGTAGTTGTTGTTGGAGTTGTAACGTTTTTACTTGCAAACGCACACCTGAATTGAGATCCTCTGAAATGAACAATTGAAAACGAATTACTCATTTGAATACTAGTATTTCACAGTAGAACTACCCTCGGTAGTCAAAGAAACAACTATCGCATCGACAAACTAGTGCGAGAAGATCGTAGTCCCGTGCGTCTTTCATTCACTAACGACGAGGGTTGCGATCATTTGAATAATCCCGTGTTTTAAATCTAATGTCCAGCATTATATTACCATGAAGAAACAAGTCATTCACTGCCAAGTACTGCACACACCCTCCTGAAACAACCTAATGTACACTATTGTTAATGTTTGCAAAGTAATCCTAATAGGTTTTTGACAAGTCGGTACGTTCTTAGTTTAGTTCTTCCGTTACCATTTCGAGCCAAGTCAGCGAACAGTACACATGGAGCTCCATGCTACCTCAGACTAGTATTACTAGTCTGAGATGCTACACGCCCAAATAACTCAATGAACTAACCAACACCGCTCTATACACATGCAATAGTTGGAGAACATGTTCAAAGATATTCTACCTTAAATATACTCGTTTTATAGCGTTCATAATACAGAAAATATAAAAATATAAAATGAAAGAGTATCATGGGTATACTCTGGTTAACTGTACACAAACTCCAAAATTTATCACAAATAATGCAAAGTAGATATATTCATTCACAATTCTGATCAAGTATTTCAATGCAAAAGGTTAGGGTATAATTTGGGGGTATTTTAAGGCTGAATTTTAGTTTTCTGTCACTATTAAAATAAGAACTTTATTTATGTTTGAGCTTAACCGTGTACACTCAGGGCACACATTTTGCTATGCTTTTATGAGTAACCCTAACTCACAGTTTTATCCGATATTTTCTGCTGTTACATATCATTGAACATAGCACCTTGCCCATACGTGTATACAATGTTGTGTTCTTTGGGGAAGGTTATTTATTGTACATGTTTGGGAGGGGGTGCACTGACCCAACCAATAGCGTGAATAAACACAAGTATGTGTCACTTGTATACATTAAGCTTGTTAAATTATTTAATTGATACAAGTGCCAGATGTTCAGTTAAATTTATTAAAGCCGATTGAATGAAATGATTTATAATAGTGCATGTTTTTTTTATTTGACTCTCAATTCCACTTACGTGAACTACAGAGCCCGGGTTGTACAGTACTAAATATAGTACAAAACGAAGTAAACTTTTACTACGAGACGACAAACTCCGCACTACGAGGCAGTAGAATTCCACAGTGTGACAGTTAACACTCCATCCAGCCATGAAGCTACATGGCCTGGCAGAAGAAAATAAAACACAGCGTGCAAATGGAACAATTACTCAATCTACGAGATCGCAGCTTCAAGAATGACGTCACGATTTCGGAGTCAATGAGAGTGTAACTGATTGGCTCCCCAAAAATAACACCTAACATTCAGACCAATCAGAAGGCAGCTTGTTTGTTAACAGGTATTTTCGACGTATCAAACTCAACTGCACACTTCAAGTTGTCCATGAATTCACATTTCATCAGCAGGGTCAAAGTAACCCGTTTCATGACACTGTAAACCATGTGTCAGTGTGTAACGCATGCTGGTTATAACTATCAACGTTTTACTGTGAAATACTTTATTTTTGCTTGGGATTGATTTTCGCTGAAGTAATGATTCAGTGAAAATAAAATCCAGCGAATATACCCTTTTCCCTATACTTTAAAATTATTTCCAGCTAAAATAAAGTATTTAACAGTAACGTAATGTATATTTTGCCTCAGCTCGTGTCCGGTAGTACGTCCTGGTATTCCCAACTTTCTTTCGCCTATTAAAATGTATTCACCAATTGACGTTTTCCGAACAAATAAACCTCTTCGTGTGTTTAGTGTTTTATAGTCTAATTTTACAACGCCAGGTTTCAAATAATAGGTGAAACAACAAAAGCCTCTTTAACATTTCTAAAATAAGGAATGTGCCCTTGTTTCGAAGTTACGTACTGAAGCCCGATAACTCAATTCATGTCACGAAAGGCTATTCGGTCACGTCAAGTTGGTATGCGTTACCCGGAGCAACGGGTCTCAATGAATAGGTACCCTAGGTAGGGCCAGGACACATTCTCTGATTCGCTACATGCTATATTTGCACTTGGGGTTGTCTGTTCATGTCGCGGTCCGTGTAATTTAGAAAACAACTACCAACAAGCAATGTGTTATTTTCGATGAGTCACAGTTGTAGCTCCACGCCGTGCTTGAACATTTGACAAACCTTGGCCTGTTATACAATATACCCGTATTCTAATGCTCGTGGTTCATATTACGTCTTACTATTTAGAATTACACACATATTCCAAGAATTGTCTTGGCTTTCAATAGAATTGAGTTACATGCATATACGCCCAACATTAATTTCGCTTTGTGCCCAAAAATATCTACCAAGAATGCAGGAGTCGAACTCATAAAGCATTCTTAGTTGTCACGCTGGACACTTACTATGAAACAATGGTTGTTCACATGACAATAATAGTAGTTTGATAAATCGTTTGCGTTTAGTTTTAAAATGCCAACGTCTGTCACCTTTAACAAAATAAATCTACATATTTTGTTCCGCACACAAAATCAACAGCTCATTTTTTAAGCAAAAATTAGGTAACTATAATAATACATTGAACTATGTAAAATTGTGATTTTTGTATTTTTTTTCTTAACTCACGGCAGAATCAGTGTCCCTCTTTGGTTTCCCAATGACAATAATGGTTGCCCATGACAACCAGACAACTATCCCTTCCTACGTTGAATCACAGTATCTCAACACCAGTGTTGGGGGACTGTGGTTGAATAGAGTTAATAAATCATAGCTGAACTAGCATGCATTGAAAAATATCCTAGTACATGTGTAAACGTAATTTACATTGTTCTCAGAAAAATCATAATGATTTTAGTGTATGTGAACGGACCCACAATTATACGCGGTATTTAACCCAGACACACAAAATACAAGTTATATGGAGTTACGCATTTGTCAAAGGTGAGATACATTAAGGGCGTGCCAACAGGTATTCTATGGTTTC